ATTATTAATATTTCATTATTATGTATTTTATTGAGCTGAGCGCCTATATAAAGGTTTTGATTACCTGTCAGGGAGTCAGTGCCAAAATTAGCTATTTTCACAGGGTCATATTTCAGGATCTACTGAAGCTTTATCTATGAAATTTGGCATACTGCTTTAGGACTAGTATATGATTACGTAGGTACAATTTTATCTCTGTACTTGCAGTAGACACTGAGCTACAGGGGGTCAAAAGTGGGTCGAATTTATTAAAAATTCGATATTTAGAATTGAGGCAACTCACGGTCGACCGATTTCTTAAATTTCTTAATTTTTTGTTAATCTACATATAACACACAACCTGTGTACCAAATTTCATAATGCTAAAACAATGGGAAGTGGCCTAGAGGTTTTGATTACCTGTCAGTGAGTCAGTGCCAAAATTAGCTATTTTCACAGGGTCATATTTCAGGATCTACTGAAGCTTTATCTATGAAATTTGGCATACTGCTTAAGTACTAGTATATGATTACGTAGGTAAAATTTTATCTCTGTACTTGCAATAGGCACTGAGCTACAGGGGGGTGAAAAGTGGGTCGAAATGGTTCGTGTAAATATAGTGCACGGCATGCGCCGGCCTGTGGAACTTGGCCGGCGCACTACCGTGCGCTTAGATGTGTAGAACGTAGACTAATAGGTCATCTTTTCACCATAGCTTCTATCAAGTATTCCATCTCAGTGAGATTCAATGATAAAGACTCGTTACAGTACAAAAACACAGTCTAAAGACTATATAAATAGTCTATCCTTTTAACAAAAACAGATTGTCTTCGAGTGTTATGCCTCGGTTATTTACATTATATTGACTTTAGAAGCTCTATCTCTTAATCCTCGTCTATACTGAAGTTAGACTTTCTGTGTTTTGAATTCATATTGTAAGATAAAATGGATCTCATATATTATATAACCATTTAGTATCAGAACTATCTTGACTATTTTTGACCTCTTAATAGAAATGATCATAATTTATAGACATCAATATTCAGTTCAGTTCAAGTTATCAGGTGTTCAATATAAATTATTATAAAATATGATTTTTGTTCTTTACAAAATCATCTTCATACTTATCCACCAAGACGATATCATGATTTCGTAAATAAGTGTTCTGTCAACGAAGAGAATATATAATAATCCTTAATTATTTTATAGGTCATTTTTTATACCGCAGCTTTCGCAAGATTACTTATAAAAACAGGAAACAAAACAGCGAATTCTTCATGCGATAATTCTTGGACCATAAAATGCTATTAAAAATAATGTACATTTCAAACAACCAGAGGATTACGCGAGATTCCGTGTTTTTATAGTGAAATATTAAAAACTTAAATTCGCACAACAGAAAATGTTTAAAAATAATAAAATATCAGCTATTATTTCGTTTTTATTTTAACAAGAACAGCATAGTAGGATCAGGGTACAGTTTTTGTTCGATTAAGTTATTGAATTCTACTAAAACGAATGGTAGTTGTAAAGTTGTTTCATTGCGGTGCTCGAGATAACGAGGTCAGTCTCGCAGACTGAAAGACGCCTTAGTAAAACAGTTACTACGAGTAATCGATTGCGAATAGAATTAGGTACATTCATAGTAATATAATGATGCTGAATCTTTATTAAATGTTGACAGCCTTGAACTTAGCTAACTTTCGAATAATTAATGGCTAAAAATTGCACGATTTCTAGAAATACTAGATGTTTGCCATCCAATTTTTATAGATATAATATCTAGGACAATAAATCTCCTAAGTTATGTCTTGCAAGGGTATTACGTCGAATTATATTCAGAAGCTAATACGGTTGGTTTACCCCATTGAAAATAAAACCAACAGTTTCTTCTGAGGCAGATAGATAACGAGGTCAGCTTCGCAGACTAGACGTCGCCAACGGTATTGACTTCGAAACAGCTGATGCTACCAGATTTTAGTAGCTTGTAAGCGGGCGATGTGTTGTGCCGAAAATGTGCTCCCGGATCCTTTGCCTTTGCAATTATAGAAAATAAAAAGAATTCGTGCTCCATAAGCTCTCTGGGACAAGGACATGCAAGCCCAAAATTGACTGTATACTTAAAACAAATCCGTGAGTGACGATGTTGCAAAAAGTGTGTTGAAAATTATAGTTTTAGCTTGGATTTTTTCTTTACTTGATAATAATCATCATGAAGATCACGTAAAAATGTTTTCTCATTCACAATTACGGCGTTCACTATCAATATAGTAACTTTTTAGTTGTTAAGTCGAATAATGTTGAACAGCATATAATAAGTATTTTATTTTATGTTAGTTAGGAAAAATGATGACCCTTTTTTCTAATTACTTACATTTTTATATAAACTAAATTTAATTAGAGATACGTTGATTAAAATGTTTATTAGTTCTGAAAATTTGAATCGACGTTCCCATTTACAACGTCAACAACAAGTCCAAAACAATTCTAACTAAAGTTAGAGCCATTTAAATCAAACCATCAATTTAGGTATTTTAGAACGTATTAGTATGCCTGAAATCCCCTTATACATTTCGGATCATATTGTCGTGTTTAACGATATCTCATTAGGCTATATTTAATGAAAACGTCGTTTGTACTATGAGCTTTATAAATTACCATACAAATCAAATTCACTCTTATGTTATTAATACATACGTTTATATTTGGTTATAAATTTTATTAAATATTTATCTAATATGCTTGATAGATTAAGATTAAAGGTAGGTAATCTTAATAAAACTTCCACACAAGAAAACCTCCGGGTAGAATTAAGTACGAATGTATAATAATTAACAACTGCAAGTTACATGTAAAGCATAATGGAATTTACATATAGTTTTTTAGATAAAATAATTACAGAAAAATATGTATAAAATATTTCACTTACATTGAAATATAGTTCAAGTGGAAAATCTATTTCTGAGAACGAGATTACCTGAGAGCCCGTAGGTGGTCTCTTAACACGGCTTAGTTTTACATAACAATGCAGCGATGCCAAATACAACTCATTTCGTCTGTTCGAGATATGACGTTTTCAGAAGTTAAGCGCTAACCGTTTTGAATAATAAATACATCTATGTATATAAAAGAAAGTTGTGTTAGTTACACTATTTATAGCTCAGGAACTACTGTAGGGATATGGTTGAAAATTGGTGATGAGATAGTTTAGAACCAGGAGACTAGGAGACGGTAATTCTGTTCGATCGAAAAAGAAAAAACTTGATAAATTCAAATATCTGGTTATATATGGTCTCTAGGGTGAACTAGAATTCGCCCGGTCAGTTATAAATATATTACTCATTCCGAAATTAACGCAGACGAAGCCGCAGGCAAAAACAAGTTTGAAATAAATTTTACCATTAATAAACTACATAGTATAGTTAACCCTTCAGATAAGATATAAGAAATTCATTAAGTCTACATAGTACATATTATAATCCGGTTATAGATATAGATCCAGTAAAAAGATTTTCATTTTGAAATAAATATTAAAATATATTTTTAATTTTACATACTTTTAATAAAGAATAAATGAAATATTTTGCAAAAAATATAAGGAGGAATACATGACTTATTTACTATATGCTTATATATTCCGCAACCTCAATTTTTCTAGTCTTAAGAAGATTTCAAATGGTGTTTATAAAGAAATATTTGAAACAAGAAAGCTTACTTTATCTTAACATTGTTAAAGTAATATCGCTAAAGTGAATTTACATCAGAAGCCGAGACGTGAGAAATATTGATGAAGTCATGTTAAACTATCGATAGTGAAAAGTTATGTTTCTTAAAATTATTTTTCTGGGTTCAGACTAAAAATATATCCATTTATATCTTACAAAAAATAAATAAAATTCATATTCACTGTCATGTTAAATTACGTATTGCTTCTAAGCAATTAATACATCAATTTATTTTAAATATTTACTTTATAATAGGCATTTGTCTTCAGAACAGATATAGGCAATAGCCAAAAATAATTTAACAAACTTCATTGTACCTATTTAAAATGAATTAACCTTCTCAACTTGCCTACAAAGTCAGTTAGGGAAAACCACAAACGAAATTACGTTCGCGACAACCAATTTCAGGAATTCAGGACTTGTGACCTATTTAATTGCCTTATTCGTGTTGGGAACTTTATAATTTGAAAACATAGTTTGCGTGTTCAATGGTAATAGACCTCAGCCAAACTTTATTCATAACATGCGGCCAACTGTCACATCAACTGCTAACCCTTTATAGATGTCCTACATCCTTACTTACCTGTTTCCTATTAATGAAAGTACGCACTAACCATTCTTGTTCAAAAATAAGAAATACAACGAATCCATACATCATACTTTAAAAGATCTCTCTGGTCTATATTTTTTCTTTAAAAGTGCTATTTTATTACTATAGGCGCATCAAAATACATTATTTATCGAAGACAAAACATGCCCCCGAATCTCTATTGAAAACAATTTTGTGCAATAAACATTTATAAAAAAAAGATAAGCGGGTTCTAAAGAAATTTTCTTTTTAATGAAAACGACATTTTTAATTTACTAAATTTTTGGAATGGTCTTATCGCGACTGAGAAGGGAAAGCCATCTTTTTTTGGGCAGTCCCCGCTATAGAAATAGGTTGTCAGAAACGACTTTTTACGAGTCTTACCTTATATTATGCCGCATTCACCAAAACTGTTCACCGAATTGCTAAATTTATTTAACAATTATTTTTCAATACAAATTTTATGTTCATTAATTTTAGATATTTATTTTCCATGGTCTACTAATTAATTTTAAATGTATTTAATAGAATACATTAATTTAATTCGAAACAAGGATATAATTGCAAAATTTATGAACTGTTTCTAAATACTAAGAATCATAAAAAGCTGAAGTGAATTTTAAACAGTGAATAGAGACAGAATATGGCAATGGTGGTGTCTAAGAAATCAAAACTATGTATATTTTCGTTATTCGTTCTTGTGGTAGTGGGTATTGGACTAGCCGTAGTGTCCACTCTAGGACTCCTTGAAAATAAAGAGCATAATCAAGTTGCAACAGCAGAGAAACTAAGCCAGTGGAAATCTGCACCGAAAATTGTGGACAGAGTGAGTATTTGATAATTGAACTTTTTAACTTGGTGTTATATTTAAACTTTGTCATTTTAAACATAAATTCAATACTAGTTAACTAGTCTATTTAAAGTTAAGTTAACTATTAAATTACTAACTTCGCGATGCAAATTATCTAAAACGTTGCTCATGATGATATTGAACTAAAAGGATAAATGTGCATTAAATATTAACACAGCTCATTGGTGGAATACTGATAGCTGTACCAGAGATAAGAGTGAACTAAATCATGAATTGTTACAAAAGCAGTTCTTTATATTGAATAAGTTTCAATACTATATTTTTTCTTACATATGCATAGTTAAGAAACAGCTATTACTTATAATTTTATAATATGTATAACTAAATAACCGCTACAATTATAAATTTCATAATAAGTATATCCAATGTAAAATTATGATCCAGACGTGTTTCATTTATAGTTTTAAAACTTTCGAAACTCAGAAGCCTCGACGAAAGTTCTCTTTTGTGTCTTTTTGGAAATTTTGCAACGAATTGTTAAATCATCTTCCGTCACGTCCACAAATTTCCAACTTAATCTTAAAGCATTTAACCTGTTTTAAGATACCAGATTTATAAAGTTTTTTATACAAATGGTTATATATGTATAGGTAAAGATTAAAAGGTAAGTAAGGTTAAGTGTTTGTTACATTGTTTTGGTTATTTATTTATTGAACTTTTCATCATCATTGTAATGTAAATACAAGATAACACAATATCTCCCATTCAATTATTAATATTTATAATCCTGTTATCGCAAATAAATATTAGTAGACACTTTTCTTCGTTTGTGAGGGGGTTGTTAGCATCTCGGAAAGAAATTCTTTTGAAGGGTCGAAAGAATCAGTTGCTCTTATTAAATGAATCATTAAAATAATTGGTCTTCAAATAAATAATATTGAAAAAATAAATTAACTTCAATTTTCAATTAAACTATGTTTTTCGGATAACTACGAGCAATTATTAAGTTATTTCACTTAGATACCATTTCAATAACTTTTTATATAACGAAAGAACCGTCATATTTCTCAGGGAACACTTAAGTATTCAAGATTGGTGTTGCAAATCTATGAGATTGACATAATTCCGGTTTAAAACATTCCGACCCTTACCAAATAACTATTCTCCGTAACAAATGACTAGGAACCTTAATCTTTCGCGGCCATTGAAGGAAAACTAAAAATCCTATAAAGATAATACGAGTGACCTCCATTATTAGAACGTATTACATTGGAATCAATATCCTGATCTATCAAAGTAATGATACACATTATTTCGATTGTATTGACACATTATTTTTTTATTTGATTACATTCAATCGAAACACATCAAATGGAAGTGAGTCCAAATTAAATTATATTGAATGTAACAAATAATTTAATAAGTTATCGATATCAATGTACATTTTGTTTGAAATACACCTTTTTGTATTGTTATACACATCAAATAAAACCACAATTGATTTCGTATTCCCGAGTGAGTACATTAAAGGAGATTGTGACCTATAAAGTTAAAAGTGTTCGTATGTTTTCTGTAATGGCCCAGAATAGATGGTTGTTCGTAATTTTTGTGCTGATTTTATGTTTCATTTGCTTTAAGTACATTTTTAATACGACATTTATTTAACTGAATATTTCAATTGACTTTTCTTTAATAATATAAATATTAATTCACTCATTTAGAATAGAGTGTTGATTTGTCAGATGTTTAATGCGATGTCTTTAATTTTTATTTTTTTATTTTAAGAACTTGTTTGGTTTTGGACTAAAAGTTATTTTTAAGGACTTAGAAATTCTAAACTCACCATTAATTCTCGTCATAATACGTCAGTGTAATATGTCTGTTAAATCTAAATCATTTAAAACTCGTTTAAGTAATAATAATTATAAAATTTAATTTGTGTGTAAGCCACATACTTAGTTCTTAATTTTTATATCCCTGTTTTTAATATAAAAATAGAAAAAAAATTCTATCGCTTACCCCTTAATTATACAGGGTGACTGGTGAATTACTATCAATATTTAAGGAGAATACTCGGTACATGATTCTCATTCGAATTATGTAAAAAAAATAGGTACTTAATTTTTAACAAAATTTCCGTATAAATAAATAAAGTGTTGACACGTTCCAAGTGTTCCAAGTGTGGACGCGTGCGGCGGCGTGCTGATACAACACTACGCCGCCGCACGCGAGTGTGTGTGTGTGTGTGTGTACCTAATCTGTAGGGTGTTCACACGATGCGTAATTAATTACATAACTTTTGGTTAACTTTACTTAGAAGTTTATTAATATTTACGTTATATTAATTTTTATTTTGTCATATATGATCGTCGAATATCACGTCCTCAAGTATCGATAGTAATCCACCAGTCACCCTGTATACCACTATTATTTTAAATATCCATATTTAATATTACATAATAAAGATTAATAAAAACATTAGAACTGAATAAAATCTGAAGAAATCTACACTGCTTTAAGAAGTGAATAACATAAATAAAAGACTTAACGTACAATTTAAAACTGTTCCTGTCTGTAGACCGTCTTAGCTAAGTTTGAGAGGAGTTTTCTTTGTGAACGCCCCAAAATAAAATAACTGGTACAATAAGACCTTACATTGTTTTAAAAGCCGCAATCAACTTGTAAGGAAACTCGTATATTAGAAAATGTAACTTCTTTTAACAAAGAAGTGGGTTTACAAAGGCTTGATGCTGTAATAGCCTCTTGAACCGAAGTTGAAAATTAAAAATAATAGATACAATACTTCTGAAATTTACTTTATTTATATATCGTTAGGAAAATTCCGGAGGGTGCAATAATAAACAGTATTTTAATTCGGTGAAAAATATTGATTGATCAAAAAAATCCCCTATATAAATTTAATTTGCTTTCCAATAATTCCTCAGTTTTAGGATAATCCGTAAAACGTTGGGCTATCAATCTTATTTACATGTCAAATCCGTTGTGAGAGACATTATATATCAGACCATCATAAATCAGATTGGAAACAATATTTGTTATTTTTGTAAATTTAAGCTTGTTATTTCCCCACTCATATTTTGAAGGTGATTGTATTACAAAAGAGGTATATAGTTTAACTACTTCACTACATTAAACTGATAATTAAAAAAGTATATTCTATTCTAGTTGCTATAGTGATGTATGCTAATAATTTATATTAATGTAAATATCTAATCTTTATTCTTATTCTGCTTTGGGGAAACTCGGATGAGAAATTTATATAATGCCTACTATTTGTAACTTCTGTTTAAAAAACATTGTCCACTGTGTTTTATATTTAGAATAAAATAAAAAAAAAAACAGATAGTTACGTAAAACAACTTTTCGACGTAATTTTAAATGATCCTTTTTTTAATCGTAACAATGATTTACTGATACAAAACAAAAGTATCGTGTGTTGCGTTCAAATTAAAATTTAAAAATCCTTCAATCTCTATATTTGCTTCAATCATGGTAGAATTTATTATTAAAAAATATTTATAAATTCTGCCATTATTCGGCCATGATTATTGAAATCGACAACTGGTATGTACATATACTGAGCCATATGTGCTAGTTTAACCTAAGTATTAATTTAAATAAAACGAATATTTTCGGACTACTACGCAGTATTTTATTATTTTAAAACTTCATCCGGGCAGACAAGATGAAAATACCAGTTATCACGATATTAGCAAAGCAACCGTAACGTCGAGAGTATGTAGTTTTAAAATAATAAAATCCGAAAATATGTAGTATTTTTATTTATTGTGAAATATAGTTCATATATTTTTATCTGATATTTAAAACTTACGTTTAAAGAAACTTTAACATAAATATTTTAGCTTGTATTAAAAGAATAATATTCGAATTGAGTATTTTAATTTCTCTTCTCAAAAAATCTGATGCCATATTCAGGCACCCAATCCTTTAATGTAAACGATACTTCGATTCCCTCTAAAGCCCTCATTCCACGAAGACTTTTGATATAAGAAACAATCCGTTGTAATCTGTCACGTCCTTTCTTGTCTCAGAGTTCATTTGTATTACTCACGTCGGCACGCCCATCCGTTCCAACATCTCGGATCTGTGGTTAAGATGAGTAATTAATGCTGAGATAATCTTAAGTTCAGATTCTACATACACATAAACGTGTTAAGCAATGGACTCTCTATAACTTTCGATAAGAACTGAGAAGATAAATCGTAACTATTTCTATGGGATAGTTTTTAATAATGTCACATTAATAATAAATAGAAGCCATTATATAAATGAATATTTTTATGAAAAAGCAGTCATTACGGTGAATACTTGAATCAAAATATGAAGTCTTAGAATGCTGAATTGCTTTTGAATACTAAAGGTAAGATTAAACAATTACATACCTTAATTATATACCTTCTATATTGTATTGACTTGTTAGACTCAAAGTATGCCATTAATTATTTTTTTTTAACATAGAATTAGTGCTTGCATTAACAGTATTTTCATTGACTTTGAGCTTATACACTAATATTTCCGTTTCTCTTAGATAGACTTAAATTAAATATTATTTAAATCAACATTGAGGTTTGATAGAGCCACGATCGGACAGAAGTTTTAATTAAGACACATAAAGCTCATCGCCAGATGGGACTCGGTATATCCTTCTAATTAAATACAATGTGTCGCATTAAGTAAATCGTTGTGTCAACTAGGTTTATGAGAATTTCGAAATAATGTCAGACGAAGTATTAAAATTCGTGATATTTAAAAGTTTTTTGTAAATATTCGCTGTATAGTTAATTTTAAATGTATAATAAATCAAGTCAAATGGAAATTACTGAGAAAACAGTTTTGCTGTGAGATAATTAAATGACGGTAGGCGTGCAGTTTCCACCCACTCAAGTCTTCTTTATAGTGCTAGAAAGCTTTTCTCAATGCACTTGATCATAAAGTTGTCGTGTTTTTAAGTTACTAAACAAATTATTTACTGCCTTTGAAACTTATATTTGTTCTTCTTCTTTGTTAATTAAATTTATTTTATATGTCAGTCAGTTAGTCATTTTAGTATTTTTTTTATGGTTTACATTCATGCACTTAACATTATACAAAAATGTTGCTGACTTCTTACTAAAAAGATATATGTATATTTTAAATATATAAATATGAAACAAAATTTCTACAATTTTTACTGCAAATTACCCTTCTGTGTTCTTGGCTGTTAATTCCCCAGCTTTAGCAGTAAGCCCTTTTATCATTCATGCAAATCAATTATTACATATTTACAATTAATTCTTTTCATATATCAAATCAGACTCAATGAAAAAGGGTTTTTATTTTTATAAGTTACTTCATCGTGTTTTAAACAAAAAAATCACATGTATTTTGTTTCTACTATTAAAAATAAACTTTTTCATACATTTATAAGAGTATTTTAAAGTTTTGCGTCAGTTGTTATGACTTAAAAAGATATAAGTTTAGTGTTTTCTTTAGAACATTTGATATCTATAATATCTTATAGTAAGATTATGAAATAATAATTTTACTTTTGAATTATTGGCAAAATATATTATTCAAATGTATTCGTAGCTTAAGTTCTACATATATTATAAATAATAGTAAGGTAACAATACATTTCCTTCTGATGCGACAAATTCAATCGAAAATTAACAATAATGGAAAATATATTCATACAAATTTAAATTGACGGTAATATTATTGTTATATAGGTTAGACTTTGCACAACAAAGGACAAATCGATTGTGAGAATTTATTTGCTATTAATAAATCGTGTTTGATGTTTGTTTGTCCTACGGCGTAAGGTTTCATGAAGAAACCGATCTTTGAACTATTTATGATTTTTTTTTAATAATTTAAGGCAATTCCAAGTTTTAATCTCATTTAGCTTAAGCGAGTTATGATGATTGAACAAAGTCTGCGGAATATTTATAAGTAAGGTTGAATTACACATGTACATATTTCTTTTATAAATAAGTGACAGCTAATTGCTGTCTTTGTATAATTTTTAACAAATCTATAGTTGAAATATAAAAACATTAGTAGACTTTATCTTTTATCATCTTTTGACACTTCCTACTCTTTGTAAGTGTAAATTCTAAAAAAATATTATAAAAATATTAAACACATTTAAATGTGCTTTATTGTGCTATAAAATTAAATATGAACGATGAGACGGTACGAGATGTGAGACGTCTGCCCGTGATCACGGTGACTGTAAAGTAACCGAAACGTCGGGAGTATGTAGATTATAATCAAAAATAAAGTCGCTTAGTATATCCGCAGAATATTAGTGTTACTAAGGTGTTGATTAAAAATTTAGTTTTAAAGAATTATTTAAATCAAAGCCATTTTCAGTCTTCTATGTCAAAAAACTCTTTATACACCATAATTCTACTATATACTATAATAAGTCCACTAATTTTTTTCTATAAGCTATTACTTAAAATTGTCACAATATATGTATGTATATATTGGAATAGTTTGCTATTATTATTCAACAAAATATAGACTCAACAATGCAATACTTGAAATGTCTAGATTGACGTCTTAGTAATTACTTCCCGCTTCCGATTAAACTCTGTTGAGTCAAAGAGATTGGCTGCAATTGATATATATCTACACAACACAAACTCATAGTCCTTGAAATTCTGGCTTACTTTGATAAACTTGTTTATTATATTATACAGTAAATACTATTACAAGATTCTAATACGTATGTGGTAATGAAAGTGAGAAAATGTATTGATTAATAAAGACGACATCGTAGGTATTATGAGCAGTAATTCAAGATAAAATTATGAGTGGATTATTAATTTTACTTTGAATGTGATATGGAATTTAGAAATATAATGAATGGATGGACTTTTGGTTGATAGCTATGTAATTTTCTTATAATGAAATGCCGTAGTGGCTCAAACTGCTCAACTATGAGAGGATAGTCAACTTCTCACAAGAACATAATCTGCATACAAGCTTATAATATAATGTATTCACATGGCGCATATGTACATAATATGAACTCGTATGTTACATATTTACTCACACACTGTATGATCGTACTCATAGAATCTGCTACTCAAACCTTATCAAAAATGTCTCTAGGATGTAAAAGCTTTATAAATTTCATAATATTTTTAAATCGGATATATTGAAAGTGAAATGTGACTCTGTCTTATAATATTTTATATGAAGATATAACCAACATAAATGGACATTTAACAACAATCTTTTAAGGATTTCTGCTAATAAGTTATTAATTTAAAATGTTTAAAATTCTTATACATTAGTAGGAATATTCTTAGAATTATTTTATCTTGTTAGCAGTAGATAAAGTTTATAACCAACCACTGCTATATTTCCTCTAATATTTTTGAGGAATACAAAATTCATAGAAAAAATACTTGCAATTTTTTTATTTGTTGAGTCCAGACCATTTTTAAATTATATTTCAGCTTATCATAAATATTTACAACGATAACCTATATGTTTAATCTTTCCGCTAATCTAAATCAAATATTAAATGTATCGAAAATTTGATCCAATTAATAATTTACCAACTAAACTTACAGACATTGACATATAACTCCAGAATTTGCAATGCATGCGCCAGTTGTTGACAAGTTACTTTAAAACAACTGAAATGGATATTGGTATAAGGATAAGCAATTTTTTTATTTATTTTTGTCTTATTTAATTTTTTATTTGAAATATAGTTTCTCTTATAAATGCTTTAGGAATCATAATATAATATTCCTATATTATCATTTTTTTTCTTTAACGCCTACCGTTAAATTAAAGCATTAACACATTCCCTACAAAACATGGAATTATAGATCACCTTATTTTTTATTAATATTAAAGAATGGAATGCAATACGATCAATCCTCCGTTTGACAGCGGTACGTTTAATTTCGCAACCAATATAAAATGAACCGGTATTCGTATGTAATCCCGTAGGATAAGATGCTTGTCATGTAGCGAATTAAAGTGGCCATTATAACGATTCTTGGACTAAGTTCGTTTTGAATTTAGTGCATCGCCGCGCACGCGTTGATTGACACGCCCGTTAAACTCGCATAATGAAATATTGAAGATGCTTTCGACCTTTTTATGTATATAATAGAGGAGTTTTAATTTCATGTTTGACATCCTCGTGCTAAAAAAAATATATTTTTATTATAAAACTACTTAGTTGAAAAATATTATTCATTTTTATAATAAAAACTGTAAATAAATCCGGAATTGAACTCATAAAAAATACGGTCGATAAATTGCCCTCACCATGAAATGGATTTGGTTACGTGTTGTAATACTTCTCGTGGTACAGGGTGCCTTTCAAGAGCTCAAGCTTTATGGATCTCCATCGCAAGCTGAAGTGCAATGTGTTAATACATACGAGGTAAGATAATCCAATTTTAAACTTATTTTAATAATTAAGAAACTAAATTTATTACAGAGCTCCCAGTATTAAATATTTCAATGATATTATTATTTATTTTGACTTTATACTTAGTACATTAAGATAAAAAGTTATTGTAAAATCTTTTTAAAAAGTATGCATGATTTGACAGGAAATAGGTAAAGGCAGCGAGGGAGATGAAATCGATATTGACAATTTTTTGGTGATTATTATTTTTTTTTTATGTTTATTTGTTTCAACAACGCCGTACTATTTTTTAACACGTCAATAATAAAGCAATATAAATGAATATAAAAATGCTAAAATATCCATAATACATTCATACATTTTTGTTAACATTTTATTATAACAATATCGGTCTTTTAAGAATAGAGTATAGACCAAGCAGTTATTTTCGTATTTCCTTTGTTACATTAATTCGTGTTAAAGAATAGCCGGTCTTTAATACCTAGTTGTGTTGTCGCTACTAACACATATACGGGCATTTTAATGTGCTTTTTTAATCCTTGCGTGTTAATTTTTTTGTTTTTATAATCTACATTTCTAACATTACATCTTAACCAGAAAATTGCGGGTCCTTCAATAACAATTTTCTTAACAACTCTTAAATAGCCACACGAAATTGGAATAGCTAACAATTAAACTGCTTTAAAGATATTTGCTATCTCTAGATCACGGACTTATAGACAGATAAGATGCACATGTCAATGTACGCTTTACTATAGTCCATTGTGTTTAACTATCGCTTGAAGTTAACGTATTGTCTTGAAATGTACAACAAAAATGATACAGATGCTTCAACGGAACTAAATTTACAATCAATAAGAGCAGTATGCGGGTCTCTTCTATTTATTTACAAGTACTTTCATTTTAGTACAATACAAAACTGTTTACCGTACAAGTTGAATAGGGGTACCACAGTAAACAATGCCATTCGCTTATACAATGTAATAAAAAAGAAAATAATTCGCAATCTTAGCTTAAGAGCGGATGTTTAAAATTTGTTCTATAATATTATATTATTATCAAAATAACCGTTGTCGTTTAAATGGTACAATATTTTGGGCAGGTTACTAACGTTTCTTATAATCTATATCCCTTTCGATAGTCCTGTTTGCTTATGATATTCTTATCTGTTTAGAAAAAGGGTTGAACTTATGTTGATAAAAACTAAGATATAGATAAATTATTAAAATATGTATACCAAGGCTATAATGTATTTTTTAATGAATGTCAGCTGTACAATTATTAATAATTGAATCCAAATAAATTATCACTATCAAAAATTACATATAATTATATTCAAGAGAACGCTAAATTCATACAATGTTAAGTCATCTGTGAAAAGTTAAGCAAACACTTCATTAGGCGAGGGTTACACAAAATTGGGGCATATGACATTTATATTCATACACGGAATATCAAAATAACACCGGAGTCAAATTTCGTATTCTCAGCATACACTCCCTTTCTGTAATCAAACGTCTCAAGTCTCGAAATTTCTAGGCAAATTCTACAAGGATTGACAAATATACCCCATATAACCTTAAACAAGGAAAAAGATTGTCTTCATTAAAGTGTTCCTTTGGGTTATGAAACGTAAATGTTTTCAATTATTTAATGCTTTATTTACTTAAGTAATGAAACCAAATCAAATTACTACGTGAACAAGCTATGTCATATGGATTCAGTTGCAAATTAATTATAACTTGAACGCCTACGTGCTATAAATACACAGTATTGTTTTGAGTAAACACTTATGTTGCTGTTAGGAATTCGCTAATAAATTCTCCAGTAGAAGAATGGTACCAAAGTTATTATTATACCGTGGATATTTTATGTTTGCGATCATTACATATTTGTATATATTTTTCATATAACACGTTCCCATACTTTGTTCGTTAAACTTTATTATCTCATTAAACAAAACTACACAGGAGATTAAAATGATTACTTGGATAAAACACTTCTAGCGTAAACTAACAACAAACTTACCTCGTTAAATGAATTTCTGTTAAATTAACACTTGATAAATTCGCTTAAGCAATAAAACTTTACAGGGTAAATTTCTCAAAGCATGTATCTTGTACATAAAATATAATAATAGTATGACGCAGGTCGATCAGGAGGAAGGTGATTCAGAGGGTTCTGGACGATATGGGACCATACCACCGTTTCCACCACCACCACCAGGAATGGATGGTAAACTTTAATCAATTGTCCTATAACAAATTACCACCATAATAAATGTTTGTCTAAATTTTCATACAGTCATTTTGACCTTCTCATATAAAAATACATTAAACCGTTTGTCTAGAACTCTAGAACATGTGTTCTACATAAAAATGATATTCAACAAAAATTTTAAAGAATAAAGATCATCCATCCGAAATAAAAGTGAGATAACACTCTAAGCCCGCACGTTTTACAAGCACACGGGGACTGTATATAATATCAAAAACATTATAAGGGACGTTTTCAGAGACCGTGCGTTTACAGTGTTTACTCGGATTAACGACTGTTTACACAAACCGATAAGTAATTATAGAGGGTGACTTATGATCCCAACTACGCCATTAACTACAACTTTCTGTACATCTGAGGCTTAGTTAGACACTGTAATGTACTTCAACGGAAACTAGTACTATGATGGAGTATAATCCATATATATTTGATATAAATTAAGAAAATGTAATTATTTTGCATTGATTTCAGGATATCCTTTGCGGCTTCGAGGAGAAAAAGGCGAAAGAGGACCAAGGGCAAGAGATGATTATATAATTACATACAAAAATCCCATTAATTTAAATATTACAAACATAGTTGTAAATTCTACATCAAACAAGTGAAGCGTACATACAATACCCAATAAACGAAATCTGGTATGAATGTAAATTAATTCAGAGCAAATAAAGAGCCTACAAAAGGAAGGAGACGTGCTCGTTCGGCAGTTAACAAACATGCGGGATTGGAACGCGAAATTCGCAGTTTTCACACAAAGGGCAGCCTCCATTGTTTTGCTACTGAATTTATTGTCTGTTGCGCCTACCGTATGGCTCTTTAGAAATTTTGACACGGTTACGATACGACATGAAAAAAATATATAATAATATGACAGTATGTAGCATAAATATTGTCAATTTTTTTCTCAATATGACCGAGCTTGAGAAATAAAGTTATTATGACAATAAGAATTGTATACAAATTTTATAAAAGAAGACAATATCTGAAATTTTATTTCAGCATTACATTTTTAATATTAATTTATTAATGTTAATATTTGAATAAAATATATTATTTCCATTCCAATATACAAATGGAATCCAAAAAATGATATAATGAACACTTAACATATTTCAAAAAGCATTTGTGTCGTGTGTTTGTGAGTAACACGCTCGTATCGTGACATAGAGCCATTATAGAGCACTTAACACTGTTTTGATCATGTACGTACGATGATACTCGCATTCTAGCATACTTGATTTGATGAAACGTTATTGAATGAAACATTGCTTACAAAAATGCATATAGAAACTAAAGCGGGGCGGCCTTTTTAACTGTGTAATATTTAACTTCTATAGAAATAGTGATTAGAATCGATTTTTGAATATAAGTAATGATTTATTCGCAGGGTCCACCTGGAGAATCTATTCGTGGACCTCCAGGGCCACCAGGTCCGCCCGGACCTCCTGGTGTAAGCACAGTATCGGAAACTTCAGGGTCCGGAGACGACGTAAGTAACATACAATATATATATATATATATATACATATATACGACCAAGAAAATTTATCATAGAACAGAGTTATATTTATGCTTAGGTTTGGTAAACATTTTTACTTTGTTGTAATGTTAAAGTTTGAATATATAATATCTCGAATAGTTACAATGTCCGAACTTCAACAATTGTTGATATAGACTTATAATATATGAATTTGAGTTATGTACTTAAAACTTTTTTTATTTTCGTAATAGTCATTGTATTTATTGTACATTTTTATTGATTAGAACTACCAAAAGTAGAAAAAATGCTCTTACATTATAAAAGAATCAAATAAAGCAATGTTAAAGAGCGGTTGAAAAAGATACTAGGAAAAGTAAGTTCCTTGTATACACAACAATCAGTTATTGACTCATTCTAATGATGTCATTTCAAACAACTTGCAAGCCCCATTCAAATATCTAAACACACATTTCTCAGAACATAATAACGGATCACCCTTTTTTAGTAGTCCGTATCCAAAGGGTGAGAATGAAAACTTATTATAACGACTGTCACAATTCTCAATGGTCTGTCGAAATAAGGGTTGTTTCTTCAAGCAAGCAGGTTACTCTAATAATTATCTCGTATTTCAACATTTTAATTGCAGTAGTAGTAAGAATAAAGTCTCAGTTCTATTTGAAATTTGAAATTTTTTATTCAATAGGAGACATAGACACAAGAAAATATATATTCGTGATAAAATTGTACTTAGCCACAAAATAATTTTACATATATTTAAGTTTGAGTAAACAATAAAATCTTAATTGGGAATGGTTTAAAACAGATATACCGGAAAAAATATAATGAGAACATTAAAATATGCTACAACAATAACAAGCAAGCAATAAAATGAACTTGATAATTTTAACTATCCAAATTTTTGCTAATATCTTGCATTTATCATTCCTCCAAATGAACCAAGAAAACTGCAGTTCACAGAATTAATGTGATCATAACTAAGTTTACTATGCATTTGGCAAAGTGCCAATTTTGGAAAGCAATCGATTCATTTTCTCTTCGATGGTCTCTGTCATAATAATAGCCAGAAAATTGGCGATAGCCCATTTAGGGAGTCCTAAAACAGGACTTTCAATATTTTTAAATTACTTAGTAAATGTTAAATAAATCATCTACATTGATAGTTCAAAATCAAATGTAGATCAAACACACGCTTAACCAAGTTGAGTGACATAAAATCTATAACTATACAAATACAACAAAAGTTATAGTGTATTTAACTTTAGGATGACTTTGACGTATTTTAGATGCTTAGTAAGGAATAGCATTACTCTGTGCGTAATCCCGAATTAAGGCTTGAATAATATTGGTCGTATAATGTTATATATTTACTTATTAAGGCATCATAATTAGTGAAACATAAGGAATTTTATTTCCTATAATATCTTCCTGTAACAATAAATAATATTAATAATATTTATTCATAGAACATTTTCATACTCCAGTGATATGTACCGTAAATTTAGCTAAAATAAGTAGATCGAAGGTTCTGTTTCTATAATCATAGACAACTAATCTTTTATAATAAAAAACTAATTCATTAAAAGAACCTGAAAAAATAATATTTTATTTTTTTATCAATTGTATCAGCATCTCTAAAAATCAAATTTTCTTTTTTAAATCCCGTCCCTGAGGGCATTTATTGGGTAACATAAATCAACCCTTATTGGAATTCACATTGCCTACATTCTGATGCCTCCTTTTTATTGTCTTCCAATTTGTAATGAAAGCCCATCCATCTTCGATTTCAAATTCGACGTGTAATGGGAAAGAACTTTTTGTCCGAAATCCTTGAAAAAGTGGTTCACATCAAATTTTTTCGTAAAAGGTCAAATGTCCTAAAATAAATAGAAGTAATGAGATAATGTTTGTCATAAGTATTTGATTGAAATATAAATTATCAGAATTGTATGTAAAGATAAGGTTATTTCAATAATAAATTTGCTTTTTTTTGTTTTGCAATCTGGATGACACACAGAAAACAGTAGTAAAGGTAATTTCAATAATCAAATGTAAATTTCACTTCGTGCCATTTATTTCATTTCAATGCTTTTGTTTTAGCAAATTTTCGGAGAAAACTACGCATCGCTCGGCCATTGTGGATGCAATTCAAGTGTTTTATTATCACTTCTGGAAATTGCTCCCGAACTTCAAGGCCCTCCAGGTCCTCCTGGTATAACGGGGGCTGACGGATTAACAGGTGCTCCTGGAATACCTGTAAGTATTAAAAAATTATCATATCTTTATATATATAATTCTTCTGTGAGTGTGTATGTCACTGAACTTCTATCAAATGACGGGACCGATTTTGATGAAATTTTTTGTGTGTGTTCAAGGGGATCTGGGAATGGTTTAGATTCACAATTTTGTCCGCTGGACAATGTTTTTTTAATTAATTTTTAATTTATTAGTATTTCAATCATTCTGTCGCACTTCAAAACACGTAGATTTATGGCTTTAATAGGTAAACTCCAAAAATATAAATAATAAAACGTAACAGATATTTCTTGATTATAGAGCGATACGAAGTTCGCCGGGTCTTCTAGTAGTTAAATAAATATGCAAGAATGTTAATACAAATTCTTACAGGGACAACCTGGTATGCCTGGTGAGAGAGGTCCAATCGGCCCTAGAGGTGATAAGGGTGATAGAGGTGATAGTGGACCACGAGGATCCGAAGGTCTAACAGGTCCTAAAGGAGAGCCAGGTGTAGACGGAAGACCTGGAAGCCCTGGACCACCTGGTCCACCTGGAACACCTGGCTCTTCTGATTATAACAATTTCGATGTTAGTATTATACTAATCATTATATTAACAGACATCCACTTTCATAGTCTCCCATAATGACATGAGATTAATTTTCATAGTGATAGTGCAGGGAAGGGTTTAATCATTATACATATATTAATAAATAAATTTTCATTATTTACATATTCTTGAAACATATCTTATTTTTCTTTTACCGTTCCATGCTGCCAATGCTTTATAGTCAAACTGGAAACCTAGACAAATATATAAGGTAAGATAATATGATGAAAATAGCAGACTGTTTATGAGTTTAAAGTAACAATTAATACTTTACTAATGAAATGCATGACATTTTAATATTATCAATTTTATTTGACCTCTTAAAATATAGGTGATAAGAAAACAACAATTCTTGCCATTTAGATATTAATACACGAAATATCAATTTATCCTAATTGTTTGCCTCTTTAATATTAACTGAAACGAATGTCTCTTTAGAAACGATTGTTCGGTAAACAAACCGCTTCAACAAACTTTAGTAAACGACTTTTCGTTGCTGATAGATACACATCGAGAACGGAAAGATAAGAAAATTTATTTGAGCATTCCTTGCCAAAAGTTTTCTCATAGCACAAAATAATACGAATTTTGTTAAGAAAATCATTTAAAATTTTGATGGTAGTAAGTTTTGTTTAAGCATAAGTAAAAATAATACTGATGAGTTGATTCAACTGAAGTTTAACAAAAGATACATTTCCATGTTCATTAATATATTAAAGTGTACCGCTAGATTTATTAAAATTATGACATTAATACGTACTTACCTATTATTAACAAGTTTTTATAATTCATATACATTATACACCATATGATATTTTAAATTAATTAATCACACAATTATAACACCGTAATTAAAGCATACGCGTGTAGTTTTTAAAGAGATGATTTTTATTGCATCCACTTTTTTTCACAGATTTTTTAAATGAAAAAATATTATTTTTTAATAATTAGATATATTCCAACAACTACATATATAAACATTAATACTTTCTTGGAGCGAAGGCAACCCTAGAGCTTGGACAGTGGAGGTGAGCGTTTAACGCGCGTTAGATAAGGGGCCCCTTAAACCTACACCTGGGTCACAAGCCCCAGGCACTGTTGAAGCTCCTCTCTTTACAACGATGGACCCGGCATCCGCACGGTGAATCCATGGAATGCTGAGAAGTTTCGGCTCTCTATTTATGTATTAATTACCAGGAATCATTACTGGGTTCATACGGTGGAGCGATTGGAAGACCAGGTGCCCCGGGGCCTAAGGGAGATGCAGGTCAACCCGGGCCTATAGGACTACAAGGAGAACGAGGATTTCCTGGACCCAAAGGTGAAAGAGGGCAAATAGGACAAACAGGAGCCAAAGGTGATCGTGTAAGTAAAAAACAAATTCATATAAGCATTTCATAATAATGGAAATGCCACTTAAATCACATTATTTTCATTCAATAATTCAACAACTAAATTCAAAATTATGTTGACTGCTAGGAAAACAACTGTGCATCTAAAGGAGACCCTAACCGGTTTTGGGATGTACATCACAAGTGAATTCTGGCTCCTTCGACCTTGTTATCGTTTACGTAAACCGAATTCCCGCGATTGATTTTATAGAACTTGAAAATCACTGCTAATAATTTCACCGCCTATGATAATATATTAATCAAATAGATTCTCAAATGGATCCCCTTTTTTGGTTTAGGTTTGGCATATAAAAACAAAAATTTCTCCATTAACCGAGAGATCGTTAACTTTTAAAGGGTCACCAAAATCATCGAAAGAAACTTGATAAATATTTCTTGTTAAGTGCATATATACAACTGAAGGATATGATATTATATATGAGATATTTACTGTGAATATATTTACAAGAATGAGTGATTTCTATCAATCTAGATTCTAAACGTTTCTTGTACTGAATGAAAATTTGAAGATAAATATTTTTTCCATCTCGTCAAATATGATTTTCGGAGTTTGACTGCAATTTAGTACTTCGATATACCGGTAGTAAACTTAAACTATGTAAATGAAAATAAATAACCAATTCTTTATACATCACAGGGACATCCTGGTCATAAAGGTGACAGAGGAGTGAAGGGAGATCGAGGCAATCCGGGATTAGATGGACGACCTGGTCTACCGGGAGCTAATGGACGTTTTGGAGAAAAAGGAGAAAAGGGTAACTATATGTTTACCCTTTATAAATTAGAGGCAATATTTTTACCACCATGATTTTATTGTTTTTAAAACCGAAATTTCGTCCACCAGTCGTATTTTTTTATTCAGACAACTTTTTTGATTGTCAATGTACAGTTTGATAATGAAAGGTTTGAAAAATATATATTTATATAAACATATATTTTTACTTCTATTATATACCCTTATCCAACATCAATTTTGTTTTTCCACTGTCCACTCCTTATGACCGTTAAAGGGTTAGTCTTGAAAATATTAATTCGATTTATATTCATACGAGTTCATTTTTATTCCAAATTAGGAGAACGAGGCTTACCTGGGCCACCGGGACCATCTCTGCCCACTGGAGTTGTTGCTTCGGAAGAACCGGAATTTCTTGCAACAGGTTAAAAAAAACACTATATACTCTATAGAATACAGAAAACTGTATATTATATAAATAAATTTTAAATAAGCAATCACTAGACTCGGTAACAGATAAACCATACTAAATTGCGACACTGGATTGTGCAATGCATGGTCACAGAATCGTGTTCCAAGTAAGAAGGTAAAAATGTGAAAAAGAATGAAGGAAACTTGGCAATATATGGTGTATTCTATTTTAAATTTTCTTGAGTATAAAGTGTTAACGATTCTTTTTCGAAAAGAAGAAGACAAAATATAACGTATATAGTTTAGTACCTTAATTTTATATACATTTTTCACTTCTTATGTACCATATATCCGAGAATAGACTGTATGACAATGTAGACCCCATTACTTTCTAGAATGATAAAGCATTATTTTGTTTTGAAATTTACAATGTTTAACTCTTTATGGAGAGTTGACTCCAGTCTATTATTTATTAATATTCGTAAAAAAGAGCCCCCAATGATATTTACTATTATTTTTTGTAACACGAAGTAAATTTATTCATTATTAAAAACTATCTCCGCGTTAGCAATAAAATTGATCAATCAGAAAGTGGCGTTGTAATAACATAGCTTCAACTATTTCAAACTACTAGACTATGTTTTTGCGGGGTTTCATTGAAAATGTATGTATATGTATACTCATTTAGTATTTTAGTATTCATCGACTGTGGAGTTGAATATGTAAATAATAATGATAGCGATTTAATTTCCATATTTTTGAAATAGGAGGTTTATAAAAAATCTTGTAAGATGATTTTACATGTAACTGATAACTTACAAGGTCAAAAATCTGCTGGACTTTTTTATTATGCTACGTAAAATTTTTTGTAGAATTCAAAACATTTTAATTTACTAAAACTAGAGTTTATTTTATTTTCCATATTATTTTATTTTAGCCCTGTTTGTCAATTGTCATATTCTTTCGGTCATATTTATAAAAAAATAAAATGTGCATTTTGTTCCAGGTTTACGACAGTTAGTACCAGCTGAAAAAGGCGAAAAGGTGGACTATATCAACTTCTATAAAAACATAAAAAAAATTACAATTTTTAAAGAATTTATTTTTATTGCAAGTGTATGAATTTATTGAAAATCTTTTTATTTTAGGGAGAAAAGGGGAGCCGAGGAAATGATGGAACACCAGGTTTTCCTGGAAAAGATGGTAAACCAGGTGAAAGAGGTGATATAGGTCCCTCTGGTTTACCAGGTATAGCAGGTCCTCCTGGGACTCCGGGTCTGAAGGGTGACAGAGGAGAGAGAGGTCCGCCAGGCCCCGTCAGTATAACATCCGCCGGATCTGATATTCTAACAATCAAAGTACATAATCTTTTTATTTTTATTAATAAAAATAATACAGATCATCTTATAAACATTTTGTTATCCCTGAAACGAAGGGCGAAAAAGGTGAACCAGGCTTAAGAGGCCGTAGAGGACGACCGGGTCCACCAGGTCCGCGGGGAGCCCAAGGACTGCAAGGCCTAGTGGGACCAACCGGAAAACCTGGCGAAAAAGGTGACATTGGTTTACCTGGTTGGATGGTAAGTAAAACATGTCTTTAGAAATAAACTTAAGCATTATATTAAATTTATATACAATTTATTTATTTCATGCTTAACAGAACATGAAGGTAACATTAATATTAAGGTAAATCAGTAAAACAAAACAAAGTCAAACACTTTTTTTAATCACAAATTTATTTTAGGGTCGACCGGGTACATTAGGACCACCGGGAATTCCAGGCCCAGCAGGACCAAAGGGAGAAAAAGGGGACCCTGGAGTGAATATTCTAGATGTCTCAATGGTACACAATTAATTAAATTAGTTCTCCATTACATAGGTTAGAAACAACATTAATAATGAAAATAAAATAAAGTTTAAGGGTGAGAAAGGAGATCGAGGATTAGAAGGGATACCTGGTGTGAAAGGAGATCAGGGACCTACTGGGCCTCCAGGTCCACCAGGTCCCGGGTCTAGATCAGAGGCAGTACAATATATTCCCGGCCCGCCAGGCCCTCCAGGCCCACCAGGGCAACCTGGAACTCCTGGCATATCTATTGTCGGGCCCAAAGGTGAACCTGGAGTTAGCTACTTAGAAGAATACCCTGTGCATGGAAGCACGAAATACTTTGGCAGACCAGGTACTTACAAACAATTTTATAAATAAATTAAACTATAGTAATTATCTAAAACATCCAATTTTATTGCACGCTTCTGGAATATAGTACCTAAAAGCCCAATTGATGAATTAAAGGCTTTAAAAGAGTTGAAGGGGTTTAAAGATAGGAATAAAGATCGTATACGTAAGTATATATGTTTTGAAAACCTCGGTTAGCTCTCAGTGGTTGCTATTATATTTTGATACAAATATATCCAATATTAACTTTCTCTAGCCGCTCCAGAACATCGAACTCATCAAGACGAAACGAACTCAAACAAGAATGTACCCGGCGCTCTGGTATTCCACACTACGGAAGAAATGCTACGGGTAATAAAAAACACGATTGCAATCTTTTAACCAATAAAATATATGTATACACGCATATTATAAATGAACTAAACACATTCTATAGGCATTATTAGGTTTAATTTTTACGTAGGAGCTTTAGAAATGGAATAAAAACAATATAACCCCAATTAACTTTCTTAATCCCACTTAATATTTCGAGCAACTGTATATTTACTTTTAAGTAATGTTGAGCTTAAACTAAAATTTAAACTAGACAATATACGGTGAAAAATTTAATGAACGAGCAGAATTTGTACCTGCAACCTCCGAAATTCACCAAACAAATTCATTCAATACATTCTATGTAGTATTTTTTCTGTTCATCTGTATTTGAGCAATTAATTAACTAATATTGAACTGTATGAATATAATATGGAATATTACTAATCATTTTATTAATCCACAGGAACGATATCGTAAATTATAATTATTATATTTTTTTCTTCTGTATTAATATTGTGCAATAATTTCTTACACAGCTTGCATCAACAAGTCCTCTAGGAGCACTCGCGTACGTGATTGAAGAACAATCTCTTTTTGTCAAAGTTAACTCAGGCTGGCAGTACGTTTTGGTAAGAAAATAAAATAATTAAGAATAACACTCAAATCATTTTATATCGTTTATAATTATTAACTTAAACTTATTTAACTTAATAATCTAGTAAAGACGAAAATGACATTAAACATTGAAAATATAGCTAAAAACGAATTATGAAATAGAAAACAATATAATACCTATTCCAATTTCAAAAAGATTTTCTTTGCATTTTTTGTCAATTAAAATATTTTAAAAATCCACAATATATATTTTAAATCGTTTCCAGTTAGGTTCGCTAGTGACGCAATCAGCTCTCCATACAACGACAACGTCTGCTCCGGCGCTACCACCTTTACTGCCGGCTGCAAGCCTTGTACATGCACCTTTATCAAACATGGTGGATACACCATTAGCTCCCATGGGACCCAGTGTAAGTAAAATCCCATATAACATCAATGTATGTAAATATTAAATAATGAAAAAATCATATCTAAGTGTTATCATCTATAATGGAACTCAAGAAAATAATACTAGCTAATATGTGATCTTAAATAGAGTAGAATTATTTTAAAACCCTCATAACCCACCTACTAATTCTTGGTTGTGTTTATTTTATAAAATAAAATGAGTTTACAAATTTAAAAATTTAGCTGATTTGCTATTAAATTAAAGAAAGTAATGAGACACATAAAAAGCAAAAATATAATATATAATACATAAACCAATAATGTTAAATACATTAACCAATAAGTCCATAATAAACAACATTCCATACATACGTTGGCTATGTGCATTTGTTCACAATATACTTAACTATATTTCTTTACTCTATAAAAGTCTTTAAAAATAGTAAAATAATTTTTATATTACAGAAAAGCCTATTATAGTAATTCAGTATATCAATATTACCATCTATAAGTACTATTTGAAACTTTCTATTTACTTGATGTTATCAGTGTGAAGTTTAAAAAAATCCAGTGTTTATATGTATTAATGTTGTTGCATTATTACTGATGTTAAATGTTATATATTCCATAAATGTCTAATTGATTTATGACATACCACTGATCTACTCTACTACACGAACATTCCAAACAATTACTAATAAGGGCTCGTTATTTTTCCTTGCTATAATTAAAGCGTTTATGTTTATAAATCTAGCTCCGTCTAGCCGCTCTGAATGAACCGCTATCGGGAGACATGCATGGCATACGCCGTGCTGACTATGCATGCTATCGACAAGCTCGTCGAGCTGGTCTTAAAGGAACATTCAGGGCTTTTCTTACAAGCAGGTACTGATAATATTACATTTTAAAATCTCGTTATGGACATACATCAATTATGGGCACATCAAATTTATTCTTTCGTCGTTCTTTCAGAATACAAAACCTAGATTCCACAGTACGTTACGCTGATAGACATCTGCCAGTTATCAACACTCAGGGTGACGTGCTATTCCAGTCATTCTCAGATATTTTTGATGGAAATGGTGGTGTAATAGCTGGTTCACCAAGGATATACAGCTTTAGCGGAAAAAATATAATGCTTGATTCGAACTGGTGAGATATATGCACAATGCACAAAATAATTCATTTTTTTTCTTCTATATACATATATTTCATTTTAGTCAAATCTAAATTTTTGTAGATTAATCAATTAATTATCCATCTATCACTTTTTTCTTTTTATTGAAACAGAATTTTAGTGTTCATTAGTTATAATTAAAAATCCAAATATACTTTGAGTACTTTTATACTATGTTTAGAAATTAATTATGTTACTTTTTACGTTAATTTATATATACCAGGCCTCAAAAGCTGATCTGGCACGGATCTCATGCGAGCGGAGAACGGGCTGTGGAGACTTTCTGTGAGGAGTGGCAGAGTGCTGATCCTTCAACCCGTGGAATGGCCGCCTCCTTACATTCACACCGACTTTTGTCTCAGGAGAGGTAATTATACTATTATCTTCTTCTACCTGGCAATTTCCCGGCTATAGCCAGGGTCTGCCAAGGTATTACTATTATCTATACCATTAATTTCTCAAATTCTATTACGTATTTTTTTTTAATTTCATGTTTCATTTATTTGTTCACTTAATTAAGAGCCAGAGGCTTTGTAATTTCTCAAACGGTTTTGCAGACTTACTGTAATTATAATATTTTTTATATAAAATGCTATCTTTTTAATAATATATATGAAGATCTATTCCAAATGTATTAGAAACTTAGAATCAAAAATTCTTGTAGTATGCATTTTTTAACATATGTAGATAATTATAACTCTAAAAGTTACTTCTCTATCTAATTCTTTAGATATTTAAATATAAATTATGAGAGGTATCAATTTGAAACATAGATTGACTTACGCTACCTGGAAGGTGCCGTAAACGTTAAAAATATATTTAATAAAAATAAACAGCTTAACTATTACTTAAATTACGAGTAGTCAACTAATTTTTGTCAGTACTAAAATAAATCACAGTATTTATCAATATTAAAGTAATTGTATGCTCTGACGAAAAAGTAATTTATCGAATTAAATAATTATCTTTGTCTGGGGAATCATGATAAAAATATTTTTAATATTTAAAAAAAGTAATAAACATATATCCGTATAATAATATAATATTTACAATAGTAGTTAGAAGATATAGTAATCTTCTTTAATAATAATTACTTTAATGAATTATTTTAAACGAAGTATTTATATAAAAAATATATTGTTACGGTACGAAATCCGGTTCGTGATAGTCAATGTGTTAATGGTACATGTACATATCTATATATGTGTGTCTGGTTTTTTTTTTCATAACATAATAATCGTATCTAAAGAATCTTGATGCAATTTTTTGTTGAATGTTTAATCGTTCTTTTTGTCTACTATTTAAAATAATCATATTAAAACCTAGTTTCTTACTACATAATATTTGTTCTGCAGATATTCCTGTAATAACCACTTCGCAGTATTATGTATTGAAGCTACTTCGCACTTGAGTGTTCGAAGAAAACGAGAGATAGCAAGGTAAATCACTTTTTAAGATATACACCTTCGACGTTCTTGACAGCTATTACTTATATATAAACAAGGTTATAAAAAAATAATCATTTATAATTTTCTGTGATTTCTTCATACGATTATTTCAATTGATATATTTTGTATTACATTTCAAATAGCGTTGCCTCATTGTCTGCAGTTACATGGCAATAATTAGTTATTTTTTTCTGTTATTTAATGTGATTATAAGTTCTTTATAAAAAATGTTACAATAGTAGGTATATAATTTGCAGAACGTTGTCAGTTTTGCTATAATTACATATACTTAAAGTGTATTTTTTGTGTACTAAAATACAATACATAAATTTGTTCTCATGTCAGGTATAATATGTCTTCGGTGAATGACGACTATCATCCGTACAATGCTGATGAATATCAAGACTTGCTGAATGAGATATTTGGACAACCATAAAAGTTCAACCTTGAAGATTCTTACAATCCATTTGTCCGTGCCCAAAATCGCTTCAATAACGTTAGCGTTATATCCTAGGTAATTTTATAATCATAATTCTTATACTATGTAATAATAATTCTGTTTTACTGATATCTAAATACTATATCAATTTTAATATCAGTAACACGTTTATAAAGTTCAAATATATGGGCATACTCAATTTACATGAGATTCGCATTATGAATATATGTACGGTGTTCAAACGAGATTTTTAAATTAGCTAATATCTTTGTATTATATCTTAAGCAATATTGGAATTTATGGCTTAGTACGTAAACATTTAAATCGTTTAAAAATATAATTAAAAGCTAATGTACGTCCTTTCTTTACGCATGTAGATATAACGAATACTTATGTTTAAGTTTTTCTAAATTGCATTTATTTATCTAGTATTATATTTTATCAAACGTATAATTGGAGCGGTAATAAAATAAATTTTCTGATTTTTGTTTTGTTATAAGCAAATAATTATCGGGTATGTTTTTTGTGATAATTTAGTTTATCTTAATTTGGACTCTACGAATGTACATATTATTTTATTGCTTAATATAATTAATAATAGCTCATAAAAATACTAATAAAATCCACTCACGTCATTATTACTTCTTCATAATTTAGTTGTTTAGTATTTTTGCTATGCGATGTCAATATATAATTATTTTAATACAACATCATATTCAAATTGTAATTTAATAATTTTAAGCATTAAATTCAAGTCTGATTATTTTGATTCTTTTATGTAATGAGAATGCTTAGATTAGTAAGTACCTAACAAATCTTTTGCTACTTATTTTATATTGTAGATCCTAGTCGACTGGTGTTGTGCTATTTTTAAACAAGTCGTTACGTCTCTATGTTATTGATGTTAAGTGAATAAATAGGAAAAATCAAAAGAATTAGTTAAAAGTCTTAGTTAAAATAAATATAGTTAATTTATATATTTTCAATATAACTAACATGAATTGAGAATAAAGGCAATTCTTCGGCAATAAACACAATGATCATATACATGTAATATGTATATTTCTAAGAAATATGTATTATGTACATAGATTTTGTTCGAAATAAAAATGGTTATCTTTAAACTGAATATAAATGAAACCAAAGATATGTGTTCTTTGTGACTTGTATAAAAATAGTATTTCATAAACATATGTTTAAGACATGACACACCAATAAGCATTTATTTAGGTATTTAGTTCATAATGTTTTTTCAATGAATCGTAAAATATGACTGTGTCTATACAATTAGATCGAATAAATGTTTTCACGGCCAACAATGTTTTTTTTTTAACATATCTATATACCATTTAGCATACTGATGTACTGCTTTTATCTCTTATTTTGGTTTAATATGAATTAAATTATCTATCATATTTTTTTATATATATTACAATATTATAATTGGAAAAAATTCTAAACCTGACTAATAGAACAAAAAAATCATTTACAACCGTGTCAAATGAATATTTTTTTTATCTTTTTCTTAATTTGACAGGAAGTCCTCCAACAAAACTTTCAGAGACAATTCCCATTGGGTCTGGTTCTGGATACTGTTTACTTTCAGCGCTAGGTTCCACATGGAATTTATGAAGAATAGCAGCTATCCCAGCCATGGCCAACAATTTTCCCAGTCTTGCAGCTGAAAACATAAAACAATTTAATTTAAACAGTTGCGCATTTTTAAAATATATGCAAAAGTGGCAAAGAATTATAATTAGAATTAAAATAAATATTAATACAAAAAATCATCAAAAAAACAAATATAAAGATATATAAGACTTACTCGTACATACAGCAAAAAAATCTACCTAATATAATGAGATCTAAGATTTTCGCGAGTACTCATTTAAATGAAACAAATATTTTACATCTGCCCCTGATCACGGTTGCTGTAAAGTAGCCGAAACGTCGGGAGTATGTAGCTTATTGTCAAAAATAAAATTCGCGTAGTAAATATGAAAATTTAGTTTCACCTACCTAATATTTTGATAAATTCTAAATAAGTTACATATGTGTACTTACCAATACACGCCCGAGGTCCGTCACCAAATGGTAAAAATATAGAACTTTTCATATCCTTAGCCGATGTAAATCTGTCGGGATGAAACTTGTTCGGTTCGTAAAAATATTTTTCATCGTTGTGAATCGCTTGTATTGGGATAATAACTTTGACACCTTTGTCTATAGTGAGTCCGATTTCCGGAAATGTATAAGAGGGCGTTGTACATTTTCTCATCAAGAAACCCACAGCAGGATATAGTCTCATAGCTTCATAAAAGCATTTTTCTAGACACTGCATCTCATTGACCGCTTCATAAGTTATTTTACCATCATATTTCATGAGAACTCGATCGATCTCATTCTGAACTTTTAGCTGCCAGTCTGGATTATAAGCAAGTTGGTGTAATGTGAAACTGGAAGTTGTTGAAGTAGTTTCAAATCCAGCACCAAAAAATAAAAAACTTTGTGCCGTGATTAATAAATCAGTAAATTCCATTTCAACAATTTTTGGATCACCATTTGAATCTTTCAGATTTAAGGACTCGACAGAAATTTTTCCTCTTTCTTTTAAGTCTAGCATTATATCAATAAAGTCGTTTCTTCCACACGGCTTATAATTTCTATAATGCAAAACCTTCTGAACAAGAGTGTTGATTGAAGTTTCTAACTCAGGAGCAAGGAAGTTTACATACCTGCATAATTCAGGAAAAATATATTTGCTTGCTCCAGCTAAAGTATCTCTAAAAGTTCTTTCGAATATTCTCTTACCTAGTTTTCTAAATTCTGAGCTGTCGTTACCTAATGTATCCATATTAATTCCAAAGCCACAAGCACCAATAAAATCAGTTGTATACCTTGCCATTAGTTCCTTAATATCATAGGATTCCAATTCTGATATATCGTTGGCTAATAATTGTAACTTTTCAGCTCCATCAGTTATAAAAGCAAACATACTTTTTATTTTACCTGTACTAAAAGATTGTCCAAATCTCTGTCTTATTAGTCGCCACAAATCACCGTCAGCAAAAAACAAGTTTTTTAATAATGGCTCTATAACGGTTTCATGCGTATTAAATCCTCTTGCATAAAAATGTTGAAAATCAGTTACCAATATTCTTTTGATGATATCAGGATCTCGTATTACCAATTCTGGTGATGTACCTCTAAAAAAACCAACTACTTTCTCTTCTGGATATCGTTTGTATAAACCCGTAGCCATCATTGCCATACTTGATTTTTGAACGAATTGTTTTAGGTTGTTTCCAAAATAAGGTAAAGGTTTATCATTTTTTATACCTCTGTTTCTCCAATAATTAAATGTTCGAATGCCATAGAAATAAAACAACAGTACACAAAAAAACACAATGTAAAACATTTTAAAACTATAAATGTCTGTTAGTCAGCACACAGTACTCTTCCGCACCCAAACAGAATGGCAACTGAGACATCTACAGGTCTTTCTCAAACCGGTGTCTTTATCGTTTTTTTTAAACATAACATTTGCATTGAATAAATGAACTTGTTAACATAATCTATATGTACCTAAATTTAGGAGATTTTTTTAACTGTGCACATCCATAGGTTATCACATATACACTTGATAAAAGAGATATATGTATATTGTAATTGGAAATAAATAATAATCTTATAAAAAGAAAAGTTGATTTTCGAACATGTCGTTATCCTTTAAAATTACTTAATTACATATCAATATGGCATATATTCAAGGTTTTTATTACTTCTTAATATGAAAAGATTAAATTAACAACGAATTTATTTTATTTGCGAATTTCATTAAAAATATCAATATTTTAATGAGATCTACGACTTTCGCGAGTAGTTCATTTACATCACCGTTCCGTTCCTTTCACTATAATTCTCAATTTAAGCACTTTTTAAACAAGTAACTTATTTACTGACAAATTAGATTTTAGCTCATATTCAGAATATAATCGTAATATCAGAGAACACGTGTCTTTGAGAACAATTAAATGGATAGGACCTGGTACTTCTTATGTATATGAAAGTTTGTGAATACTGACTATTGAAAGATATAAACTTATTATCTCAACATTTGTATTAGAATTTATATATATATTCTTTGCAAACAGGCTAAGGGCTACAAATATTCATCTTTAATTCATGTAATTTGTGGCAAAGACTTATTAAAATAGAACATAGTACTTCCTAACAATATTATACAAATGTTTCTAAGTATGTATAAATGCATAAATGTAGATACTTATTGCTCCTATAAGCGAAAACTTGTTAGCGGATCAGAAAAAACTTAATACAAACTTAGACGTCAGAAAATAAATAAATGTAAGCTGTTGTTTATGCCGCAGTTTTGTATAGTTCCAATAGACATAGCATAATAATATAGATCTCCTTGCCATTAAATTTCAATTCTAAAGTTCAAGCAGACGACATTTCAGGGAAAACATAATTTTATGCACAAACTAACATCCCGGACAAATTCTACGACGAATGAAATGTTTAGAAATCGTCTTAAAATACAGGTGAACAGCTAAATTCAATACTATTTAATAATTGAATTGGCATTGTTTTATTTTTTTTTTCACATTAACACAATATCAGTGTCAATTTTTTATTGTCTATGTACTTGTACGCGCCAATGATAGAAATGGCCAAATGGATTTAAGTGTTGTTTCCCTTCATCAAAGAACTTCAAAAAGAAACTGTGTTTGTTTTATTTGAATAGACTCATAAATAAAATATTAGAGTTATTTAATTTAGGAAAAAATCAGAAACAAAAGTAGTTGACGAGATTATGATGAATAATTCAATTCAATGTATTTTAAAATAAAACTTGTACTAAAGTTTTATTTTTAAGTACATTGAATTATTTAAAATGCACTTTACGTGCTTTACCAATACTTTGACACACACGTCATAATTGATACAACTGTGACGATAACTCTACTTTTGTTTTTTCGTTAAAGGTCAATGACATTTGACATTTCAAATCTAGTGTTCAACTTGAAATAATCCATCATATAAGGTCAAGTGTCGGCTATATAAAGTATCTAATAAACAAAAATGCTTCTGGATTTCGATGAAAACATAGATTATGGTTATCAATAGTATATAAATAGCCCTATCAAAGAGAAAAAATCTGGGTTATTATTAGTTACTAGTAAACCTGGCGAACTCCGTTTCGCCACCAGAAGGCTTTTATATAACATTTCGTTTGGTGATTAAAAGATGAAGAATTTTTTGTTTTATATTTGAAAAGGAATTTTTTTATTTCATTTCACAACAGTAATGAATTCATTTCGATTACAAAAATGAAGTGTTATTTAGTTGAACTTCTCTAAGTAAATGAAAGTGAATCCAAAGTAGATACCGAATCGAAGCGTTATATTACGTGTCCGCAAATTATCCGTTTCATTGAAGTGCCCCTTGGTAAGCCACATTTTTTGTTTTTTGGTCTAATTTAAACACAAAGCGTATGGTTTCACAACTCGTGAACACGCAAAATATAACTGCCCATGTGAAAAACAATGATTTTCTAAATTTATCCTGCAAATACTAAATGGTTTTAAGAGTTCAAACTACACACACATTACCTAAATATTTTTATTTTTATATAGTAGATTTCTTACAAATATCTAATTGTCATCCATACGTCATTATATATTTGTCATTATACGTCAATTGCATAGCTGTCAATTCTGTTATTCCACGTTTTATAATGACTGACGTTTCATGTCAAGTCCCACGGGAATGCTGTCGAACGGGATAAAAAGTATCCTATTGCAATTTCCTGGCTCTAAACTACCTCCCTGCCAATTTTCAGCTAAATCGGTTCAGCCGTTGTTGGGTTATAAGTGGAGTCACTAACACGACTTTCTTTTATACAGGGTGACTGGTGAATTACTATCGATATTTGAGGACGTGATATTTGACGATCATATATGACAAAATAAAAATTAATATAACATAAATATTAATAAACTTCTAAGTAAAGTTAACCAAAAGTTATGTAATTAATTATGCATCGTGTGAACACCCTACAAATTAGGTATACACTGACACTCACACATACGCGTGTCGTGACGTGGTGTTGTATCAGCACGCCGCCGCACGCGTCTACACTTGGAACACTTGGAACGTGTCAACACTTCACTTATTTATTACAACTGATCGTCCAACTGGTCGACCAACTGATCGTCCAACTGGTCGACCAACTGATCGACCAACTGATCGACCAACTGATCGACCAACTGATCGACCAACTGATCGACCAACTGATCGACCAACTGATCGACCAACTGATCGACCAACTGATCGTCCAACTGGTCGACCAACTGATCGACCAACTGATCGACCAACTGATCGACCAACTGATCGTCCAACTGATCGACCAACTGATCGACCAACTGATCGACCAACTGGTCGACCAACTGATCGACCAACTGATCGACCAACTGATCGACCAACTGATCGACCAACTGGTCGACCAACTGATCGACCAACTGGTCGACCAACTGATCGACCAACTGATCGACCAACTGATCGACCAACTGATCGACCAACTGATCGACCAACTGATCGTCCAACTGATCGACCAACTGATCGACCAACTGATCGACCAACTGATCGTCCAACTGGTCGACCAACTGATCGACCAACTGATCGACCAACTGATCGTCCAACTGATCGACCAACTGATCGTCCAACTGATCGTCCAACTGGTCGACCAACTGATCGACCAACTGATCGTCAAACTGATCGACCAACTGATCGTCAAACTGATCGTCCAACTGATCGACCAACTGATCGTCCAACTCGCTTCTATCTAAAACCCTCGCAGCGTCTACTCAGCGTTACACAATACAATATTTGAATCCAGTTCCGGCAATGAATCTTTAATATATGTAGGTACAAAAATATAACACGATTCTCATATAAATTTCTTTAACACGAACGAGAAAAACTTGTACAAGAATATATGTACTAAGAATATAGAAACTCTTTGGATAAAAAATGTATTTACTGGCTGACCTTTGTGGATGCAACATCTACGCGTGACATTTGATTATTAAGAAAAAATGTTGGTTAAATGAAGCCATAATATACAGGGTGACTGGTGAATTACTATCGATACTTGAGGACGTGATATTTGACGATCATATATGACAAAATAAAAATTAATATAACATAAATATTAATAAACTTCTAAGTAAAGTTAACCAAAAGTTATGTCATTAATTACGCATCGTGTGAACACCCTACAGATTAGGTATACACACACACACACACTCGCGCGCGGCGGCGTGGTGTTGTATCAGCACGACGCCGCACGCGTCCACACTTTATTTATTTATACGGAAATTTGGTCAAAAATTAAGTACCTATTTTTTTTACATAATTCGAATGAGAATCATGTACCGAGTATTCTCCTAAAATATTGACAGTAATTCACCAGTCACCCTGTATATATATACATATACATATTACAAAATTAATATTTATTATTTATTTATATGAAATTGGTCAAGAATTTGCTTTTCTATGTACTTTAATCAAATGAACAGATGTTTTGAAGGTAATGCTTTTGGCGTTTGTAAATTTTTGTTGTACCTTTTTTGAATAAGTAGAAAAATATCATAGGCGTATATATATATACTAGTAAACCTGGCGAACTCCGTTTTGCCGCCAGAAGGCTTTTATATAACACTAGCTTTCCGCCCGCAGCTTCGCCGCGTGGAGTTCGGTTATATCGCGTTTCCAAGAGAACCTTTCAAAAGTCTGGGATAAAAACTATCCTATGTTCTTTCTCAAGGTCAACTCTATCTCTGTACCGAATTTCATTAAAATCAGTTCAGTGGTTTAGGCGTGAAAGCGTAGCAGACAGACAGACAGACAGACAGACAGACAGACAGACAGAGTTACTTTCGCATTTATAATATTAGTAGGGATTTCGTTTGGTGATTAAAAGATGAAGAATTTGTTATTTTATATTTGAAAAAGAAATTTTTTATTTCATTTCACAACAGTAATGAACTCATTTCGAATACAAAAATGAAGTGTTATTTAGTTGAACTTCTCTAAGTAAATGAAAGTGAATCCAAAGTAGATACCGAATAGAAGCGTAATACGTGTCCGCAAATTATCCGTTTCATTGAAGTGCTCCTTTGTAAACCACATTTTTTGTTTTTTGGTCTAACTTTAACACAAATAAAGCGTATGGTTTCCAAACTCGTGAACACGCAAAATATAACTGCCCATGTGAAAAACAATGACTTTCTAAATTTATCCCGCAAATACTAAATGGTTTTAAGAGTTCAAACTACAAACACAATACCTAAATATTTTTATTTTTATATAGTAGATTTCTTACAAATATCT